CTGTTAGAGTTACAGTGTTGCTTGGAAGCTCCTGTGACCCTTTGGGCTGGAGCTTGTCTCATGATACTCTGGTAAATTAGCTTGATGAACTGTTACGGGAATTACAGTTAGACTTAGTTTGATACAACTTTTTTCCTTAATGATCTAAAAGATCAATAAAATCAGTAGCAGATCAGCAGCACTTTAATTACATTAACAGTTATTATTTGGGAGTCGTTGCAAAAAAAATGGACAAAAAAACGAAGGAGAGGAAGGCGATGAGATTAGAAATGTTAGTAGAAAAAAACTAATCCTAGAAAAATGCAAATACATTTAAAGTGATACTGATGGAGATACAAAGAAGTGAAAGCGTGCTGTGGATGGAGTAGGAACATTTAGAGAGTTAGGACAAGAAAAGCAAAGTCTTTTTTTTTTGGAATGCCTATGGTGTGATGGTACCACAGTGAATCTGATGTGGCTACTTCCATAACTCTTGGACACACAGCCTACATTTTGTGAACTTCTGGTTTGGGACAAATAAGTGACAAGATTTTTAAGGAAGACTTGAAGCTGTTCTTGAGTTTTTCGTAGATTTTTAGGAAACAGAGTCTTCAGTTCACCCCATCTTGGAGGGTAGCCCCATAATATGATACATATTATTGAGCAACTAAGTTGCAGAGATAAGACAGAGGCAAGTTATAAAGAAAAAAATCTATTCAAAGGCTAGGCAGTTCTCTATTTGGTGAGAATAAGAACTGCTTTATATACCAAGTGATAATTCAAAGAGAATTTTTCCATAAGATGGTTACGTGCATAGTGACTGCAGCCATATCATTAGACTACGTAAAAACGTAGTTGGTAGAATGCACACCTGAACAAGAAAAGAAAAAAATCAGTCAAAGCTAAGCGTCCACCATCCTTTCCCTCACTCAAAAAATTCCTTGAGATGCTATGATTGGATACCCTAACACTGTTATTATTTGGTCTATGCCAGTGCACAGGGACAAGCGTGTGCAGTAGAATATTTTGTTCTGTTACAGTTCATGGCCTTACCAGATGTTGTGTTTGGTAGAGAGATATAGGCCAAAGATTTTTTTTTTTTTGAAAGAAGATTTTGAGTATTTTATGATGATTATTTGTTCCTGACACTTCATCATATTTTTCCAAAATTGTCATTTTCAACCAATATTTAACTTTTTCAGGGTGGAAACATGAATGTATCCAGGCTGCTGTCAGAGATGCTTCAGGGAAATCTGCATGATCTCAGTGTTATATACTTTTTTCTTTCTCTTGGACTTTCAGAAGGATGATTCCCAGAGACTTCTGGAAGGCTTCAGCTCCAATGAGAAAGCGCGTACACGCACAAAAAGTAAAGCAGAGCCCTATACCTCAAAAGAGGAAATGGTATCGGAGGTAAAGTTATGTTCTTGGTGGTAGATGTCCATTTTGCTTGAGGTAGTAATCAGCACATTCATGACCTTGTCCAGAGTGTCTTGATTTTAGTGGGCTTGGAATTGGGTCCTTAAAAGGCATTCCGAAAAAACGTTTTTAAAAAAAAAAAGAGAGAAAGAAAGCATTCCTGTTATGATTCCATTTTATTTTGCTCTTTGTGGGTATTTTAGCCAAGATCCTGATTTCTCTTTGGCTCTGGCTTCTTTGTCTACGTTGTCTTTAATTTCAAAAGGGTGATGGAAAAAATTCACACTGTTGGCTTCAGAAACAGTACGTAAGCACTGAAGCGTAGTCCTGGTAACTGATAATGGATTTTTTCCTGGAGAAAGAGATTGTTAGAGAAAAATTGACAGTAACAATTCCCTCATCAGGTCCAATCTGGAACAGATATATTTTTAGTGTCTCCGTAGGATATGGGTATAGATCTGAGTTGGATTTAGTAGCTTGATGGAGGGAGCAAGAATAAATGAAGGAAACTGAGTGTATCGGAGGAAAACAGCACCTTCAGTGACTTTCTCACATAGAAGATCTCCAGTTAAGTACCAACATAGTGCAAAGGTCAAATGATCAAAAGGACTGAAATACCAGAGTGGTGAGCTGGGATTAAAGGACAATTAGAAAAAAAATTAATTTTTATTTCAGATTTGTTGTCAAGAATGGTAACAAACTGTGGTTCATTGGTCATTCTTCTTGAGTTAAAGTACAGAATAACAAGTGACCATTGACTAGATTCTCTTTTGGAGTGTAAATCCTGTGAGAGAACCTATGCAATGATATAATTTTATGCATATTAGCAGTTCTCTTACAATGGGATCACAGTCTTTAAAATGTGAGCATTCACAGCTATATCTGTTCTCAGACAGCTTAGCTCATCTATAACACTTTAAGCCGTGTTATTTGAGAGGGCTTTCTCAAATCCATTTGCTGGACTACTGTAGTTGTATATATACTTCTTCCCATTCATTTGTTTCAATTTCCGGAGGCTTTAGCCTAGCACCAGATTGACATTTCAGGAAGAAGCATAGGTGGAAAATGCTTTTAGTTTGGCTAGAACACTTCAAAAATCAGATATTTTCATTCCGAGACCTTCCAGATAGCAGTAATACTGTAATTACCATATTAATGATAACTGTATATTACTCGTGCCTGCTGAGAAGCAGGATGTCTTAGTTGTAGCCCGCTGCGATATGGCTTTATGGCTTTTGGACTGGAGCTGCTTTGCCTCCAGCCATTTCGGAACAGTAGATTTGCTGGCTTCTGTCCCTGGATATCTAGTATAGCAGTAGGACTACTCAACATGAGCAAGTATTTTATACATTGACCCCTTGCTTTTTGTTTCATCAGTGAAGCCAAGAATGACTTCTGGAAATAAATGAAACAAAGATGAAAAGGTGCTATGATAAAAGATCCTAATGAATGACGTGGTTTGCTCTTCTCTTCCCACTTCTGTAGACTCTATTAGTGCTTTGATATTTCCTATAACAATGTTTATAAAGAAAACTAGTTTGGCAAAACAGATTCTTTGATTTGATCTGGAAAAAGAAAAAAGTTAGAATACGAAATCTCCTAAAACTTGGTTTTAAACATTGTTACTTACAGCCAACCTTTCAATAAGGCATGTATAACCTAACAAAACAAAGTTGATTATCCCATTGTTCCAGTCCACAAAGCAGTGGATAGGAAAGAGGAGGAGCAGAAAGTCAGATGGTGTATAACGGCAGATTGTATGAAAAGAATGCATTATCTATAAAAAGCTCTGTGGAAGAACATTGCTTTTTTCTCTGGATTGTAGGTAAGGAGTGTTCTATAAAAGTTCTTCCTGGAAAAAACGATGACTGGTTTTGTTTAATCTATTTTTTCTCTATATAAATTGAAAGCCAGAATGTATAGCCATGATGGTATCTGTCCAGCTTATTCCAGCTTATGACTTATTCCTTAGTCATTTCTATTGTTAAGGTAATTAAGTCTCTCATGTGAAATCTTTAGTTGGTGAAGGGGGGGAAAAAAAGGAACGCAAATAATCTGTGAATACCAGCTACTGTTCATTTTCACTTGCAAGAGCAAAAACATTTTGGAGCCATGATAATATATAGGGAGAACTGCGGTTCTCTTTTCTGGATTTCATGCTCCAACCCGAATAAGTTTTACGAGATTTTTCATGCCAAGGCTGAAACAGTCAAGAAATAGTCAGTTATCGATAAGAATTTCTAAGTTATGTAACTAAAAGATACTTATAGTAAGCAACTGTCAGGCCTACTGCTGTTCTCAAAGTTTACAGTAGTTTTCTGTTTTTTTTCCATACAGGAAAATGAGTCTCCTCTGAACAGTAACATCACAGCATTTGCGTTAAAGGCAAAAGTCATCTATCCAATCAATCAGAAATTTAGGGTAAGGATTTAGCCTCTACTTGCAAAAATTAAAATCATTCTATCTCAACGTAAATTGCAGAGTTAAAAATTACCGGAAGAAGAGTTACTGTCAATGTGCTTAACAGGGAGTTTTGTTTGTTAATAATCCATTGACTCAGGCCTCATTCGATATGGCATCAGGTGGCTTCATCTCCTCCTGAAACCTTCTGTGCTTTACGTGGTGTCCAGTCAATCTTCACCGCAGTCAAGAGACCTTTTTCTTTCCCTTAACACTAGCGGAAGTTGGATCTGTCCAAGGAGGCAGAGAAAAAAAAAGAAGGGTCTCTTCTTCAGTAAGGAAATACATCCCAAGCAGATGACCGCAACAGAAGAACTTTTTACAGGAAGCGCAGAAACCTGTCAGTATGATGAATCGTAATTTATGTGGAAACACTTTTGCCATGTGCATTAATTGTTAGCGTGAAAGCAAGCACTGGAAATTGATGAGCCATTTATCTCCTTCTTGTGTTGTATTAATTAACCTTGTACATTTTCTTTGACTCCAGCCTTTGGCAGATGGCTCATCCAATCCGTCTTTGCACGAGAATCCAAAGCAGACTGTTCTGCCTAATCAAGTAATGGAAACATCCACTTCAGGCAGCCTGGGCTCCCTCAGCCAGGGAGACAAGGAGGACTGCAGTTCCTCCACGACAATTCATTCCTCAACCAGTGACGACAGGTTTCAGGCTCGGACCTTCCTCAAGGTGACCTGCTTCCCTGAAGTGCTGACTTGCGAGAGGTAACCAGTTGTGTTTGGTCATTTCCTGGTGTGACGTGGTGCTTTTTCCAGACAACCACTAAAGGTCTGGCATAAACCAGATGACTAGGGTTGGCATAAACCGATGATTAAGGTTGGATGCATATGTCCACCACATCAAGACAGGGTTATGTGCTTATTACCCTTAAGAAAGTGACTGGGGAAACTAAAGAAATGCCTCTTGTTATATATTAAAAATCAGAAGTTTTTAAATGACATTCTGGGAATCAGAACTTGCACACAAGGAGACTCATAAAAGTATACAACATTTGTGGTAAGGAGATCCCTTTTTACCCACACAGTGTCAGTGCTACGTCATTAATTATGAAAGGCTGTTAATAACTCTGAATTCATTACTGCAAGGTATTGACTGTTTTCTGCAAGTGCTGAGCTATAAAGTCTTTAGAGTTTTAGTCTCAGTTCACGCGCTGCAAAGGCAGGTTGCTCTACAGGGTCCGGGGTCCTCTGCATCATATAAGATCAAGTTATACAACAGGAGTCTCGGGGACAGCAAATGCCAGCAGTCTGTTCTCTCAATTTTAATAGGAAGTACTTAAGTAATATTGTGGGAAAGCTTCCTCTCTCAGATAGTTTGGTGATGAGCACATTGAGCTAACCCAAACGGACTATCAGTTTTGATTTTTATTTAGGCACATAATGGTAAGGTAGCCCTAGGTGAATAAATACGTGTTTATATTCTCATTGGCAAAAAATAAATACAATTATATATACGTCACTATGGGATTGGGGGTAGGGGACTAGCAATGAAAAATGCTTTCAAAATGTCCACTCTTATAGCTATTTTAATTTGAAGCTTTATTTTCCCTTTACTGTAGCCATTCGTGCCCGTACGTATCTTGACTTTTTCTGAAGGGAACTGCGTCTCCAATGTTGTTAAAGCATTATCTGATTTTGCTTACCTTTATGTAGAGATGTTTTTTTGAGAGAGAAAGAAATGTAAAAATAAAGTGACTTGGCTGCTGTTCTAGGGACATTGCTTTTAGAAAAATTTATCAATTAAAAGAAATATATGATGTTGCCTTTTTACGTGACTGTCATTTAGATTGACACTAACACTTTTTAAATCTTTGTTTTAGTTTTGATGTTAAGCTCTGCCTCTGCAGTCTTCTTTTAAAAGATCTTATGCTTCTTGATACTGAACTCAGAAAAGAAAAACATGTGGTAGGTACTCATGTCTCATTTATAGCTATTTGATTTGAATGTCTTAGCTGAGTATCAGTTTAGGAAATAATCAACATAAACAACTGGCTAGCTGGGAAGCACTATAGCAGATCTGTATTTCTACAGTATTCTCATTAATTTTTCCCTTTGTTCTGCATATATGAGGTTCATACAGGAGCAACCCTGTGAAATATAATAGCCTGTGCAATACAGGAGGTCAGACTGGATAATGCAGCTGTTTAGTTTTAAACTTTACTCCATAGGATAACCTATAGCACTCAGTGTTCATTTAAAAAAAGATAAATATTTCAGAGATGAGTTTATGTTTTAATGACAGTGCTTGTGCAATGCAACTGTAAGGACAGCTTTGAATAAAACTGAGAAGTCAATTCAGCAGAATCAGTACCATTGTGATAAATACAATAGCCCTGATTTTGTGGGACAGAGGAATTAAGGTGCCCCTGTAAAGCATACATAGCTACCTACATCAGATTACAGCATACAAACATGACAGGAAATTAAAAAAAGACAAAAGTGGATTTATGTAATTAAGGCAACAGAATACTGCATTAGGAGAACAGTTTGTGGTAAGCAGGTATGACAGAGTACAGAATCGCTACCGTTACTGAGTTTTAGCTCAGGTAATTGAAATCTGGACATAAAATATATAGTTTTCTTCTCCCTTTCTTTCCAGACCTCTCTTTAAACACACTGCCCATTTCTGATGTAATTTGTTGAATGCACTGAGAATATTTCAAGGGGTGGGGTTTTCTCAACAAATTTCTACACAACCCAAAAGAGGAAATGTGAAAGTAAACCTGGAGAGCCACTTCTGATCTGATTGGTTTTATCCCTTCAGCTTATGTAGTCCTAAGTAGATGAAGAGAAGAACTTGAGATCAGATACCAGAAAGAATTTTAACTTCACTAGGGAAAATTGAACTTGGTCTCAAAGTTAATCATCAACTTTTAGATGAAGGTAAAGTCACTACATGGTGATGTAATCACAGAAACACTGAGAAAATGAGCATTTAACACCCTTTGTGGGCCACCAGAAATCCTGACAAAAGGCAGGTGACTGACTATTAGCTGAAGCTTTCAGTAGCTAGATTTGTATTTTTACTAGTAGTGAACAAAGAGGGAAAAAAATCTTTCAACCTAGAGAATAGTTTCTTCCTTTTCTGTTCTGCTTTCTCAGACTTGAGAGACAATCTTTCTTAGAGTTAGATCTAGGAAAAGGAAATTTTCCCCTCTTTCTGAATTCTGATGCTTTTTTTTTTTTTCTGGAGTTTGTGGTGTTTGGTGTTGTGTGTTCAAGAACTGCCAAACTCCTATCCACAACACTGGCAAGTGAGATCCAAAACATGACAACTTTATCATATTTCTCTTCTACTGAGCACTTTTTTGACTGACACGTGATAGCATATATTTAATGATAACATATTTTCCAGATTTTGCTCAGCTCAGCTGTTGCCTTGGAGAATAGTCTTTTACATAAATATGTTTTTATTTATGCTTTAACATAAAATATGTTTAAAACAGGCAATTTCATCATCATCTGTTTTTATGTACATGAATAAGAGACAGGTTGCTGTTAACTTTAATACATCCTTATGTTCATGTAGGAGAACACGAGTTAGTAATGAATTGACTCGTCTTTACGCTGGCACTCTAAAAGAAGCAAGGGAATCAGGCAAGGGGGAAGAGGCTAATCAAAAATTAAGCCAGTGTTCAGAAATATCTTTTTGTAGAAACTGCTATTGCAATTTTAAAAAGTCAACTGGAAAATAATCTACCTTTTGTGAGAGAAGGTAGCCAGAAAGTGAGATGGGTACTTTTTTTATTATAGGCTGTATATAGAAATGTTTGATACCTCTTTAGTTGGCAGACTACAGCTGAAATCATAGTAAATAATTTGTTAATAACTTTCAGCTTAGATGTTCATTAAACTTTAGAAGAAATGAGCTTTAAGTAATCTGTGTATTTTCCAGTGAAGTACAGTTTCAAATTTGTCAGCTTGGTTAGATATATATGAGATTACATTATTGTCCTTGTTAGAACACAACAGTCTTCCAGTACTCTCACTGAAGACAAAGCCAAAGGATTTTTCATAACAAAAGTATTGCAGAATTGCTAATGATGTTTCTATTTTACCTGTGATTCACTATATTCTCGCTGATTGGCTGAAAGCAACAAAAGTTATCACAAAGATGTTCTTATGATGTTCAATAGGCACTTATCCTAGATTTTCTTTCTTTCCTTCTGAATAGATATTTACTCAAGTTCTCAAAATATACCTCACAGATTTTTATCATAAAAAGAAGATTACTGATGATTTGTTCAAGAAGATCCTTTTAATTCAGGAAAACGTAAGTGGTTTTTTTTTTTTTTTGGTTAGTGTTTCACACAACAGAAAATAAGAATTAATCCCGCCAATTGATGCAAGCTGATTCAGCAAGCTATCTCACCCAGTCTTTTATGCAGCAATGTCGTTTGTAGTCTACTTCTGAATTAACGCAAAGGTGCTCGCTCAGTAGTTGATTCTCTCTAGTATCTGCATTTGCTCCCCGTTGTTGTCTGAGGTGATCAGGAGAGTGCTGTTTCTAATCTGTTAAGAATAAAAGTGTTTTGTAGTTCAGTCCACTCCAGCAAACAGAATGTTCTTGACCTTATTCGCTCATAGTTATTGACTGCTAATTATTAGGTCTTTGTCCAGGCCCATATATCATGACTAATAATAACATAGCAGGAAACACAGGAGGAAACTTAAGGCTTTTATCAATGGAAAATATACTTATTTTTCTTTATCCTTTTTTCTTCTATGTATGTTCATAGAAATCCATTTTCCACTTCTGAACTAGAAGATAAACATTTGTAGTTAGTATGTATTTCAGGTGGAATCACAATATTATTTTTGAGATGACTAAAAGATTTCCAAATTAGAATCATAAAAAAGTCCAAGCTGCAGGGCACCTTTGGAGGTCGTCTGGTCCAACCTTCTGTTGAAAGCAGGGCCTTAGATAAGGCCCTGTCAAGCCAAGTCTTGAATATTTCCAGTGAGGGAGACTCCACCATTTCTCTGGGGAACCTATTCCAGCATTTAACATTCTCACAGTAAAGACTGGGCTTTTTTCTTCTTTTCAGATGGAATTTCACACTTAGACATTAAATTAAAGCCTGTCAGCTTTTCAGCTCTAGTGGCTGGGATGCATCTCGTTTGCGCATTCTCGCAGTCTGTGAACCAACGTTGGGAATGTCTATAATTTTACCTAATAGGTTATATCAGAATGGATTTTGCCTCAAGACCACTTCACTGCCATGATTCCTCAGGTTTAGTATTTAAGTTTGTAGTATTTACTAAGTGCAAAGTAAGATTTGGTGCGTGTATCCTTCTTTCTGAAAGACTTTTAGTGAGTCTGGATACCTCAAACTACAAACGCAGAAGCAATATAGTTTGGGCACCTTTCCAGTATAGCTGAACCGTCAATAAAACTTGCCAGCATGGGTCTCTCCATGCAGCTAACTGAGGCCACTGCAAGACAAAGACTAAATCCTGTTTATTAGATGGCGGTCAGTGCCAAAATAGTCCCGTTATTAGTACGTCAATCTCAGATTTGGTAATCCAGCATTCTGACCTCATATTCTGTAGAAAAAAGTGCTGGAAACATGATGACCGTAAGTTTGGGATGCCACGTGATGGAAAAGACTGGTTATGAATACCATCTAAAAGAGAAGTTAATAATAAGCAAACACGTTAGCACTGCAAAATATTGCATGCAATTCTGCACTGGTAAGATTGAGGATTATATGATTTATTGTGGACAGCATTTTCCACTTAATTCTAAGGAGAATTCATGAGATTTTGATGAAATTGTTTGTGAAGCTTGTCAAAATCTGGTTCCGTTTCTTTAAGGCGTAAGGTGTTGAGTTAATTCATTGGCGAACAGAACTGTGTGATATTAAACATAAATGCTTGTTAGAGAAGGCATGTTTAAGCAACTGCAGAATCATCCATTTCAGAACCAAACTGCTAAGTAAGGGCAGAGGACTGGTATTTATTGGTATTATTAGCTTTAAGAAAACATCATCCTGCCTTCAAAGGACTGAAAGGCCATAAAAACCCCACATAAATCATTTAGCCTATAATTTGTCCCTTACAAGCATTGCAGGTATATTTATCTATGTATGTTAGCACCCTGCAGGAAACACAATCTGATAATCATATTTGGCTACTTATCTATACTTTTAAACACAGCAGGTACACTAATAGCTGTCATTTAAAGATGGAACTCATACATTAAAATAAAAATATTTATGGATAGATTCAAAGGAGCAGTAGAAAAGCCCGTGGAGCAGTATTTACTAAAACTTGAATTAAGTGGGGATGGTACTTGATTGTGCTCACATACTGGTTAAAATGAAGTAGAAATATACCTATTTATAGTAAATGTAATTCAGAGATGCCACATACATACAGTCTTGTGTTTTCTTTCCTTGCTGCAGGAGATGCATTACCAAAATTTTCTGAATGTGGTGTTGTTCAGTTTCCTTAACCATGAGCCAGACTTGACATACAAACTCACTCCAGGATGAACTTTACCGACTCTATGGCAGCACGCTTGCACCTATCATTAGAGCATGTTCTCTTTACAAAGGGTGATGATGATGCATGGTTTTCTGTTTAACAAATTACTTGTATTTTCCAGGATTTTGAAGAATTACAGAAACAACTTGACTCTAGACTCCAGAATACTGAGACGTCAGGAGCCCATAATTCAGAGTACCAGACCCTAGAAGACTTAGAAAGAAAAGAAAGGGAATACTCTGAGCACATAATAGATAATGTAACTTTCTAATTTTTCTTTTGTAAAATTTCATTTTAATGTTATTCTCTTGAAGTATGTTTTCTTTTCTTTTTTTTATGATTGATTAGTCCGCAGTTAGTGTTTTAGATGCGCGTGGGTCCTGAAAACAGTTTTACCTTGCTCCAGCAAAGTATTTCCAACTCCCTTTGTAAGCCAACGTTTTTCATACAGCACTGTTTCGTTATGCTGGGTTTAGAGCTGACAAACGTGTATTGCTTATCATACGGTTAAGTACATTTCAGTCCTGACTTTTAGGAATTTTGTCATAGCATCTTGCTTTCTTCCCCACATCTGTATTCAGATAACACTTAGCTTCCAATATGCCATAACTGACTAAGAGAATAAGAGCATATAAAACTTTTTCAGCTGAAATAACTACTAATGAAATAATTACAGTATGGCCTTTTAGTATAATTTTCACATTCGCTTTAGCAAAAGCTTTGCTTTATCAGCTTTGTGCATTATAATACATTTACATAGTTCTTAATGTGAAAAAATGTAATTGGATTGTTGACATTTGATCCGCAAAATAATAATTTTTCTCTTCAGTAGCCTCACTGTGTCCAAATTAGTTTATAGGTTAGAAAACTGGAGGTTAAAAGTCTCCTGCATGTTATTTTCTAGTAAACTGGATAATCTGAAAGATAACCTCCATTTCCAGTCGTTTTTGTGAGATTTGAGCAAATTGACTGCTGATGAAAATGAGAGGCTAGTCAGGCTGACGGCTCTGTGGGCTGTCTGCGCTGACTGACCTTCAGTCAAGACTGCACTTCAGTCTCGAACTGAACAGCCAATTATCTCCACCTTGGGCCTTTTCCATAGAGGACTTAACATTTTTGAATAGCTGACGGTTAAGCGCTTCACTAGGAATTTTCTTGGCTTTCTTTTGAGTCTCTGTGCCTTTCACTTATAGTGGAAGATCTGGTAACGATAGTAGACCTATGTAAAGCTTCTTTTGCAATTTAACTTTTTTCATTGAAAAATGATTGTTTATGGTTCTGCAGTGTTAGTCATAAAAACTGCCTGACAGCTTCACTGAGCAACATGAGATAGTTACTCACCATCAGCAATCATCCTTTAGTGGGTCTGTCGCTGTTGTACCAGCAGGTGCTTTTCACATGTGTTTAAAAGGAGTACACTGTGCACACGTTCTTATAGACTTTACACAAAGAAAGCAGGACCATGAGCTATTCATCTCGTCCCTCAGTAATATAAGGGTATTCTTTACCGTACAAATACAAAATTCAGATTCTTAATACAATCTTGGTGATGAATACATTTTCTTAGCTTTATGCCTCCTAGTAATCCTGCCGAAACCAACAGAGTACCCCCATGTACAGGGTTATGCATAGTCATGTTTGTGGGATCAGACCCTCAGACTAGAGATTACCCATGTGATAATTTATTCAAATAGGCACATAAAACTTTTGGAACTGTAAAAAATACTTAATTTCTGGACTGTTAAGTGGTTAGGTAGCATGTAACTGTAAAAGGCTTAGATGGTGGAATACAGTGAAGATTTTTTTTTTTTTTTTTAAAAAACCCAAAATCTTGCTTGACCAAAATGCCTACTCCTACAGATAAAGAAACATCCCAGAAAAAAGGTTACAGTTTATTATCCTTCCTACTTTTCCCATTATTGCTAACAACATACTAGGCTTTAGTTGATGCAATATGTGGAGATCTAAAGGCAAACTCAGAAAAATTATAGTGAATAACTCCCATAAAAAAGGTCAGGATTGGCCAAACGTACCACTGACTGGTTATGTGCCATCAGCACATGTCATTAAATGGTCTCTGGATATAGTTTTGCACAGTGTTCACTATAAATAATGTTGAAAGCCATCTGCAGTCTCAGTGACTTGTATCTTAAAGCATAATGAAATATTAGATGATTAATGAGGGAAAATGGTTTATAGTTTGATTCTTGTTCTACAGATGGAAGCTTTCTGGAAGCAGGCTGACAAAGCCCAGCAGTTTCTTTTGGACCAGTCAAAATGCTCAAATGCCAGAGCAATGAAGATAACTGTGGATCTGACTGAGAGGATGATTGCAGTAGAAGGGTTATTAAGTGAATCTCAGGATTTGCATGCAATGGTAAAGTACAAGAAGAATAAAAGTTGAGAGGTATTTAGTCAATCTAAACACAAAGCATGATGCAAATACAGTGTTCTGTCAGTCCTATATCATGAATAACGTAGACTGCTTCAACTGTTCTTTTTCAGCCTTGTTGCCGAGCACTTCCTTTGCAGTTTATAAACGCTCCTGAGAGGGTGAACTCGCTTCACTTGAATTCTAATTCTTAAAAGAGTTTAGGCAGTCACGTCAGGAAAAAGTGACGTGCATGATATTAACGTGGTCAGTGAGCCAGCAGCCAGAGCACTAGATCTAATGATGGAGGGAACCATTGCCCTGGGCATTCTTTTTCCTTTCAGTGTATTTATTCTGCTTTGCCTAGGCAACCATAATTAAGATATTTAAATTAAGATATTTGAGTTGAGGGTGATTCTGTGTGTCCTGTGTTAACTGGAATTGAAAACCCGTGGCATCTCTTCGGAACACGGTCTTTAAAGGACAGATATGTTCATAAATGCGTCAGCACTCTGATTTTTGTTGCAGTAAATCTAACATATCCTTGAGCCAGATCTTCTTTTGCTTTTGGAATCCTGAAAGAGTCGCTTGGAATTTACAGATTAACAGTACAAACATTGTGGCCCACTGCATTTATTAGCGACTTGGAGACTAAATGAATAGCTAACTTTAGTAAGCTAACAATTACCATGTCTTCTATTAGTAAGCAAAAATTGTTTTGCAGTAGAACAGCAAAGTAAACCAAGCTGGCCGCATACGAAGATAGTCTTTGCAGCTGATCACACTTGACCACCATATAGGCGCTTCCCTCAGATATGCAAATTTCAAGTGATGCGTTTGGATACAAGATAGTGATTTTCCTACCTGAAGTCACTTCTGGGACACTTAGACCTCCTTGCAAAAGTCACCATCCGTGGATCTCCATTAAGCAGGGTGGCCATTACTCTTTCCAATCTAGCATCTTTGTTTAAAGTAGTTCTAGTTTAAGCTATGAGATCTTGCTGCTTACTGAAGTCCTGGGATTCTCCTCTAATAGCGCAATGGAAGCTGCAAGGTCATATGTGATTATACCTATTATAAAAACATTCACTGAACTCCAGCATGAAGTCGAAGGAGTCCCAGCAATATCAAAATCAGACATTTGTCCTCATCTCCAAATGAGGGCTTACAGTAGTGCAGTATTTGGGATCTTGAAGAGAGGTGCAGGTCCTCCATGTGGTCCTTTTGCCATTTTTCCTTCTTGAGTATTAAGTTGGTGCTGCAAGCTCATTAATATTTGTATTCTATTATTTTCTTCTTGACTGCTACAAATAATGAAAAATACCAATGGCTTTAGATCAATTCTTTTCCTGATGCAAATAAACACGCAATTAGGCCTACTGCCATGCCATACAGGTCCAGAATTCCAGAACTATACACCATAATATATGAAGGTTGCTATTCACACTGTCCTTGAGAAGCTTCCTTCTTGAGAAGCTTGTTTTGAGAATGAGTAAGCCGATGAAAGGACAAGCATAACCTAAGACCTACACTTAGTTTCTGTGTGGAATTTTCTTGTTTGTTTTCAGGACATTCAGGAAAGATTATTTAACTGGGAGCTTATGGTAAAAATGGTTGATTCACTGAAGTTGCATATACCAGAAGAGTGCAAGTGTAGATTAAATACTGTATCAAATATTCTGGACCATTTAACTGTAAAGAATAATCTCTCAGTCCGACAAAAGGAAGAACTTTTAACAGACCTGCACAAGGCCTTCTGGGAACAACTAGCACATTTCAGTAACGGTGAGTACTTTAGATACAAGCTCATGGTGCCACTCTCAAGGGTATGTGGTCTCACATTTGTCTTAAGTCGTACAAAAATTATGGTTTTAGCTGTATATCCCGCTATTTTAAAAGGATTTTTGATGAATCAGCCCAGAATACTATTCCTATGAAGGCTAGATGCTTAGAACAGGAACTTTGGCTTCAACCCTTCTGGGTCTTGTTACAGGCATCGCTATGAACTTATTTTACATTTCATGTAATCTTTATCTTATTTAATTCGAAGATGGAGTAAGAGTCATATTTACTGCAACTATTTGTGAGATTTCTCCATTTGGTGTATATGTACTTGACATCACTGGTGATGCTGACTGCTGCTCAGGATAGTAGTAGCTGTATATGTGCAAAGTATTGTCCTATGATCTCCTGCTAGCATGTGGAGCCAGGAAAAGATACAAGACATAGTGGTGCTGTCACTCTTATAAGACTATCATTTCCAGGTTTATGATCTTCACACATTCATTACTTTTACTATATCAGACTAACATACTTTAAAAATTAAAAATCTTTTCATCTTCCCCTTAAAAAAAAAAAAAACACACACTCTTCTAGTAAAAAGGCATCAGGGTTAGAGTTCCATTAACTCAATAGTCAGAACATATATTCTTATTGAAGTATATTTTTGCTGCAGTGCTGCTTATTCTCATCACTAAATGTGAAAGTGAAATTGAGCCATATCTTAAGGTCAGAAACTTCCATTCTTCAGGCTAGCTCTACTTTAAGAACATTGACTAGTCGTATGAACCAACAGCTTACTGGTATTCATGGATTCATAAATATCACCATATTGAGTGTGTCATGGATGCTTGCTCTTAAAACTGGTGTGCCTTGCAGAATCTTTGCTTAGGTTCAACCATTAAAATTTAAGTGTGAACTTATGCCAGTGTTGTTTTTTTTCCTCCTGTCATGTCTTTCTTGTTCAAAGCAGAAGTACCTCTGTTGCAGACTTAACTTTATAATTGTAAGTGCCCACTTTGCATAAGGAGCAAAGCCTGTGCAGGAGGGCATCAGCATTCAGCATCCCCCTGTTTTTAGGGACAACTGAAACATACTGTATGCTAGTTTTCTTTTTAAAAAAAGGAAAAAAAAAGAAAATCATCAAAACACACCCACAGTGTGTGCAGTGTTTTCACATGAGAGAGTCAATATAGTTTGACCTTGGTTGGGAGCTTGTAAATGCATTAGTTATATTGTACCTATCATTCACATTCAGAACACAAAGCCGGAGAGAATCTGTGCTCCTAGGAAACAAACAGGGAAGTAGTAAAGAATCAAGTAGCATCTAAATATAACAGTTACTACCTTTATTCAGATGACATTTTTATTAGACTTTCTTACGCTTCCAGTGCGTTTTCCAGTGTTTTGTCATTGAATCATCAGCCCTTGGATAAGCACAATGAATTAAGCATAGAGAATGAGTAATGTGCGTGGTGCTACAATACCGTACTATATTTCTCCACAAAAGAGTTTCTTCCAGTTGAAGCAGCTCAATGTGGTTGCAGAGCAACAGCCAGCTATTCATTTGCATTCTCCCTTAGCTGCAGGTGTGGAAAGTGAAGTGTGATCTAACTATGGAGGACAAACAAATATAGTTCTCTTTAGGTGCAGAGGTAACATGAAATGAATAAGTGACAGAACATTGTAAGGACTGATTCCGCTCTGCAGCATAGAGCCCAAATAGTAAACTCATGGACTGAAGTCACCTGGAAAAGGAGGATTTTGATAAGGAAGGAAGAACTGAGCCCCAAATATTTTGTGATACTAGGACAAAAATCAGAGGGAGCTTGATAACTTTTGCCGCAGGTTCTTGGAGGAGTCACTTAGAAACCCCAGTATGGCTACATACGAGTTCAATCTAAGCTACAGCTGCTCTGGGCCTGTTCTCCCCACCGTATGTTACCACCCCTGTGCTTGCAGTAGCATTGGCATATCTGCAATTAAACGGTGAGCCACCTCTAGACCTCCTCTAAGGTGGAGGAGGAGGGAGGTAAGGTGGATGGGAATCAGGGTCTTGCACTAACTCACCATCTTTTCATGAAGAGCAGCACCAGGGAAGCAGAAGGCTCAGGATGGTAATGATCCAGAAACTGGTTTTAAGTGTTATTTAACAACCCAGAACTTCCCATCTAAAAAGACCATCAGGTTAAGAATCAGCTCTGAAATCTTGCATGGTAATTACTTAGCATTTCTCTCACTAACAGATTCCTGTGAGCTTATGTTGTGTGACAGTAGCAGATGGCTACATTTTTCCTGTGGAATTACGGCATCTGATCACTGGTAGTTTTATGTTCCAGAATGTATCCAGCAGAGTAAAGACCTGATCCTGAAACGGCTGGAGTGCCGTGCAAAGAAGAGAGAAGAGTTCAAACACAGACAGAAAGCTGAACAAGGGAATCTCCTCAGTAAAACTTTTCGTACTGAAGACCTTCATGATTTTCTTAAGGTAAGCACATAAAGACTTATTTTCACTGTTCAACAAGTTTAGTTTGTAAGGCCAAACTTGCTGTGGATTTCTCCCAATCCTATGAAATTATTATTTTGATTCCTCCCAAGGGTCATATGCAGTAGCATAGGGAAGAAAGGGGCAGAGATCCTATTACCTACGCTTGCCTAGAGACTTCTCCTCCAGTGTTGCAACTGTGATGCTGGAACCAGATGCCAAAGGGCATTTGTTAACTGTAGATTGGATCTTTCACAGAAAACATCCTTTACTCACATGCTGCATGTTTGGTTTAATATAGGAAATCTGTGGCCTGTGCTACAGAAAAGAGCAGACTGTGCTGGTCTGATTGCCTTTTTATGAGTGAGGTTACTGAGGCTCAGAAGACTATTAAGTGTCACATAAGCAGAGGGGAAAACTCATTTTGAGTGCTGGCAGGATACCTTAGAGACAGTTTGCAATATATCATTCGATACAGTATCAAATGACCAATGAAATGTTTTCTTGGCCACATTTTCTCTAGAACTGTATTGTTAGTGTTCTAAATGCATATATTACAGTCAGAGTTCTGAGTTGTAAATGCTGAGAGCTGCAAAACCTGTCACAGCTGAGAGCCACAGACCCAAGTTATTAAGAAAAAAAACAACCCTCAGTTTTCATGAAAAAAATACTTTTAACCTTAAAGTGCTTGCATCCAGCAGCATTAAATTTTTGATAAAAACCTAATAGCTTAGATAAATTGTTGTATGAGAAGACTTAGGTTCCTACTGTAGGCTGATTGTCAAAGTTTGTTGATATCAACACTTCAATTTTGTATTGCAGGCCAAGTTCTTTAATTATATTGTACGAATTTGATAATGCAATTACTGTTCTTTTACTGCAACACCTGTCTGGTCTAGTTCACTTCAAAAGTCCTTTCACTCCCATATATGAACAAACAGAAAAGATTCCAGGCACTTTAAGACAGTACTTTTTATATTTTCTTGAGATAGGCAATTTTGTCATCCATTTTTGTGTACACTGAGCACTTGGTGAACAGTATTTGCTTTGTACACATAACTCACAGGATCCTTGTGCACATCCCAACTTTGTTAAGAGAAAGTTGGAAATTTTGTGTCACGCTCTCTCTCTCTCTCCCCCTACAAAGCTTAGGACACAGCTTTGTACAGGAGATGCTTTATTCTGTATAGCTGAGAAAGCGAACAAATGTGCTTAAACTGTGGAACAACAATCTGCATGTTAAAGGCTGAGTGGGAACTGGAAAAAGTGACAGTTGGCACTTTATGGTGCAGTACAGAACACAGATGACTCTTAGTGTTATGAGATGCCTGCGTGCAAGTAAAAGACAGCCAGAGATTTAAGCCTTTTAACTGCCACAGCGGAGAAACCCTTTTGTCCTAGAACAGATGGGGCCTTGAGTCTAAAAGCTCTTTGGAGAAAGAAAAATATGCATATATGCATCTCCCATGATTTAACTTAAATAGTCAAATAATTGTTTGCAAAAAATAATTCCCTCAGCAAAGAGGAGTAGCTTTAAGTCTGGCCCCTGGTTTCATAGCTACCCCAGAAGTGGAAGAGTTGGCCTGAAGTCTCACCATTAGCCCAGAGCTTTTCCCATCTGACTTCTCCCCTATCCCTCAAAGGGCCATGGTAGCAGCCTACACAGTAACTGACCTTTCTGCTGTATATTAATCAGTTGCCAATTAGGGAGATGGCTGTTGCAATGAGCTTGCTTAACATCAGTTTTTTCTGAGCACAGGTTGGATGGTAATGATTTAATTGCTGCAATTTTGATTTTTGTATGAAAGAATGACCTAGATAAAGGTTAGAATCCCTGTGTCATGGTATCTCCTCCATTTATGTTTCTGCTACTGGAAATTGAACTTTTTTTGTTTTTTCACTAGCAGAGAATATAGGAATGATCCAGTAAAGCATACAAGCCAAAAGGTACCAAAGTTACAGTAACCCAGTCTTGCTCAGCCCTATCCCTGGACATAGGAGTTACAGCAGTTAGGTCAAATTCCATGTTAAACTCTGATTTCATAATAACAGCAAACTTCATGCACAAGTTATTCTTCTAGAGATGGACTTGAAGAGCTTAAGAGCACTTGTATTCTTTAGGAGTGCTCTATTCATGGCCTAGCAGTGAAAACTACAGTAATCATGCAATGCAAGAGAGCACTGGCAATTTAAGCGTCTTCAAAATACGGAATATTCATTTACAAGACCTCTCAGTCTATAAAATGAGATATTTTTTGGTCCATGAAGTTCAGTCTTCCCTCTTAGCCCAAATATGCGCAGATTAAGGTGGTCAAAGCGAGTTTCATGCCCCTCTGAATTATGGTTCCAGATTAAGAATTAGATTATTGTGATGTTACAGTGGAATAGGAGAGGATCCCAAGAAACTGTGAAAGCAACATTTTCAGCTGTTTATATAGGCCTTCTGTGTTTCCCTTAGGCTTACCAGGAACTGTTAGAGAAGCATCGGCAGATACAGTGGGACCTGGAAGAGGAAGACGACTGTGAGAGCGCAGAGGCTATTGCTGATCTCTACAAGGTGCCACTTCCAGTTATGTGTTTTAATAACTAAAATGGATTCTGAAGTTCCTCTAATCCCACTACCTAGAGTAAGGTATCTCAGGTGGAATTGCAGGACACATTGTATGCAATATTGTGGCAGTTCTAGGAAGTTAGGCTGGCAAACAGTGGGTGGAGACAAGAAGAACAGTTTCCCGTAAAGCTTGCCTTCTCCATTATCTTGCCAACACACAGCATTAGTCAGAAGACATCCACGCGATCTGCCAAAACATGCTGCCTCAGTGGCCAGCAAGGCTGCAATAACGTTGAAAGCATACTATGTCTGGCCTTACCACCAGGATAATTATGCTACATAAATGAAATTTTATCTCCTCTGCACCATGCTAGGATGATACTATTCTTGAGAACTATTCTTAGAGATGTAGTGAAGTTAACCACCTCTTCTCAGGGAAATTGTTTTGATATGGGTTAGTTCCCCAAGTAAGTTCAGATCTTGGTTATAGTAACATTTTTTACACTTCCAAATCAGTAAGATTAAGAAGTTTTATAGGTGCTGCATGCTTTTGCATCATCTTTAACTACTTTCTATATGTGCACAAAATAAGATAAATGATCTATCTGATCAAGAACAGAGCTGTAGCCACCAGTAACCTTTAATTAGGCTGGAACTAATCACTTTCAGCTCAACAGGATCTTTGTCATGATTAATTACAGCCAGGTTGGACATTATGAAAACTTGCAGTCCCCATGACCTCTGGATAAGATACCCACACAATGTTAATTACCACAAGTAGTTTGATAGTGCATTTATTCTGCTTTATAAGAAGTTTTGCTTCCTCATGCACTTTTTCAAACTCGGTTGAAAAAACAAGAAGCAAAAGACTGGGATCACCGTCTTTAGAAGTAAGTTTTAAAGTAGTTTTATGCAATACTGCAGGCAACTGGGTGTTTGAGAAAACTACTGTTTTAGAGAGGGAGGCATTTGCATGGACGGCTGTGCTTGTGAATGCAAGAAGATGTTTTGTACAAAGCTATTTAATTTAAGAGAAGTCAACATGTTTGCTGATATTACTGCATGCAGTCTGTTCTCTGGAGTTCTTCTCTACCCTTTTCCTCATTTCATGTAAAGTCTATGGAGACCAAACAATTGTTTCCCCCTGCACAGCTCCACTTAATTTATGAAATTATATCACTTTCTTTATTGGGTACTCCTGCTTTACCAACACTAAGACCAGACTGAAAATCCTACTTCTTTCAGCAGCGTGTAGCTAAGTTTTCTTTTCTGTTAAGGAAAAACTGGTGTGGGCAAATTAAGTGTTTCTTCATTTGCCAAGTTACTGCAAGAGTTGCACAAACTTGAACTCTGCCAATTCACTCAACTCTAAGCCATTATATTCCATATTACAGCTGCTCCCTTATTCCTAGGCCCATACAAACACTACCAGACATGAAAAACCAACAAATTCTGTGATCGGACTGCATCTAGTTGATGAGGGTCCACAAATCTTGATTTCCACCTGTTTTTACAGTAAATCTTTTTTACTGTGATATTTAATGCAATGAACAACTGCACTTTCTCCTTTTAGCCCTAAATACAGATACTACAGACTGTTCTAGAAGAGCAAATTGCTATTGTGTACACCTTGTAAGCAGCACAATCTAGAAAGAAGAGAAAGTACAAGTCAGCAAAGCCCCACTGTAGAGAAGTAGAGCTATTCTGACTTCCACAGCCGAGGGAAGAAGTGCAGTGGTTATAAGTTTCATCCATTACCTGCGGCATGGAAACAAAAGTAGATTTACTGTTAAGGGCAGAAATTACATCTCATTCACAGTGCCATTGCTTCTCACTCTGCTCCACCATGCTTTTGGAGACAAAGTGCACTGTAGGAAACCAGGAGCCTTTCCCTGGACAGCAGGGCTGCACCTCTTCACTTGTTTTCCCCAGGGAGAAAGGGAGAAGCTGCTGCTACCAATGGTGAAAGCAAGGTATCGGTGGATAAGAGAGAAGATACCCCACACTGCCAGCAGAGGTGTGATTACAGCTCAGGTAGACCAGAGCAACCAACATTAGAGCAGCCGGCAGATACCAGCAACACTCCCAAGGCTACGTTCGGTCCTGTGCTGCCAGAGCCATGCCCCAATCAGCTCTGAACCACCTAGTTGGTGAAGCCAGCTGATTTGGGCACATTGGCAAATACTGCAACCTTGAGAGAGTCTGTAGCATCCATAGCTTAACTGATGCAGCCATTTTTTTTGCACTCATTTGAAGTGTTTGGATGCTGCTGTTTCTCTTTTACCGTGAGCAAGGTCGCGAATAATTGAAAGATTTGGTTAAACATTCCGCTGTTAGTTAATCTCCACGTTTTCCTAATTGCAAACATATGTTGCTGAAGAGGTTAGAAGGCAAGAAAAAGCCCCTGTCAGGTAATATGTAGAGAATTCTGTTAAGTTGTTTTTTTACCATTTCACTGGAAGTTGAAGCCTAGCAACATTACTGAAAATTTGAGTGAAACTCTATAGTCGCTCTAGCATACTCCTCAGGTATTTAAATAAATATTCCCCACCGTATGGTCCACAAAACTTCCAGATTACAAGACAATTTCAAAAAGATATGTTAGTACTTTTATAAACAGAGAGACAGAGGAACTAGAAATAGTGAAATATTTAGAGTTAAGCTTAGTTTTCATTCTGTTGCAAATGAAAACTAGCGTGGCAAGACTGTACAAAGCGATTATGCATTTTTATTTCCCCCCTCCCCTTTCTACAAGTTAAATGTCCCTTAGATTTAAGGGAAATAAAACTGAGGTGTCTTAGTAGGAGCTAATTGCCCAAATCCAAGAGGAGACAGTGTGGTCTAACAGTTTTTCCATAACCAAGATTTAAGCAACATTATTCCATATGCCCTCTCTACCAAGCAGAGGTTGCTAGAGACTTTCCTACTGTCTGCAGGCCCAGGATTAAAGGCAATCTATGACATTTCATCTGGACAAAACAACCTAATTTTGTCCCACATCCATAGGATTTACGGTCCCAAATTCCTGCGTGTCTGCAAGGTGCCACCTTGACTTTAGCTAGAAACCTCCCAAATTTGAATAAATCACAGCACACCATTCAGATTAATGGCATTAGAAACTGAATCATGCTTTTAACACATCCAAACATTCTGTTTTCTTAAGTTACTTTTACAGTCTTTCTGAAGCCCTAGGAGCTCTATCAATACTGCAATTCATCGGGTAAAACAGCCCTATCCTGGAGAAAAACAGCTATATTGGTTCAGACAGAAGACCGTTTGATGTAACATCCAATAGTTTGTGTACTGTTACAGCACCAGTTGTTTTAGAGCAGTTATATAGAATTATGTCACTTTCTAATAGATCTATATCTTCAGCTAAAAGCAGTTACTGGACTCTTTCAAACCAGCTGCCATAGGCAGCTGTAATTGAAATGGACAGGCCAAATTTAATCAATATTAAAAAACAGAACTAGACCACGCTCACCTGGTAAGAAGTCAAAAACTTAATCCATTAGATTAGAGTGTCTTTCAACCACCTGCCACACAGGTGCCTCCCTCCCATATTAACTTTTTAAGTCATCCACCCTCATTTAAGTACCATATCTAAACTTGTACTGCAAGTTACTTGAACCTGAGTAAATCCTCAAGGGAGGTAGCATAACACTACTGTTTTGTTGTGTCCCTTGTGATAAGTTCACTGCCTTCAGTACTCAGCAGGTGTGCACCTTTAACACCTCTCTGCCACCACAAGCAGAGCAGCCCTTTGCTCTGCCCAGCAAAGGCACAAAGTTCTCAAAAACCTAAACTTGGTCAAATTCACTCCACCAACTGCAGAAGCCCAAGTGCCCAGCCACAGCCCTAACTTCATGGTCCTTAACCACTGTGTTCAAAAGGCCATTGCACCTTTTTCCCCACCGAGAGAAAGGGATGTAGCAAGCCTACCTTCTCCTCCAAGATCCAGCTCAGCTCCCCCAGAAGCACTCTGTTCTGCTACAGTGTCCTTCACCTCCCCCCCACCCCCTTACCACCACCACTTCTAAACACCTTTACTCACTCTATAATTACCCCCTTTATTCTACCTGACCTGCAGGCATTTATAGCAGCTGTTTCTATGTAGGTTATTTTTTCCTTTGGGACAGCTGGAGGAGAAGATCAGAGCTCTTATTAACTCTTTCAAGGACAATCCAATGAGGGGTATATTGTATATAGTACCCTATATACACGGTGTATATGATATACATTGTATATATACATTGTATGTATGTATATAATAATTGTGTATTTAATGTATATGCATTATCACAGTCACTAAAATGCTAGGTGGTTGTAGTTTAAAAGCAGCTCACCAAAGCCTTAACTCCCTTTAATGAATGAGAAAAGGATTTGGCCTTTAAGCTATAGGCTGTCCAGCTATACTTAATAAAAAGTTTATGACCTCCTTTTCCCCTTCATTTGTACAGTGGTATGGCTTGATTTATTTCAGCAGATTTATCTTGGTTTGTTTTAGTATAGGCCAGCAGAGAAGCAAAGCTGGTGGACTCGAGTACATGCTCAAGTAGAAAGATAACCTCAGTGCAAGGGCTGGTATCAGGAAAAGGTGATCATGTGATGGAACAGGGGACCAGTGAATATCCTGGGGACTGAAAGAAAAGATGTCACTTCACTGTGATTTCCACTCACCTGTGGGAGACTGTTCTTCACTGTGTTCTTCTAAGCTTTTCTCAGATTCCTCTGCTTATTTTTTGTCCATTTTTTGCATCTTCTAAACAGTTCGTAAGTTCACCAACAGAGTTATACAACCGTCTAGCGCTACGGTAGCCTGTAGTGCTATAGTACATCAAATAATTATCCAATTTGATGAATAAATATATAACAAATGCAATGATCTGGAGGTTGACTGTGAAAATAGCAATTGAATAGGCTTGTTTGGGGTACACATGAATAAATCAATTAAAATGGTTTAACCAAGATCAGTGAAACCTGTTGACATGACGCCTGAAGTGAAT